AGAAAAGAAACCTACAGTGCATCTTTCCATTTGTTTGAATTGAGCTCTTGCATTTGCAGCACTTGTTCCTGCAATAATTAGATGGATGCAGAATAAAGTTGCCTGTGTACAGATCTGACAAGTTTCTGGACAGCATATGTTGAATTGAGGAAGGTGTAGGAGATACCTTAGCCTGGAATTACTTCCAGTCCTCTCCAGTTCCCTGGAAAAAGGAGTCAAGATTTGGCCACTCTAGTGCCCAAATGGTATGAGTAATGGATAATGATCAGCAGCTTCACCCTTCTTCTGGGTCTTTTTTTTTTTTTTTGACCCTTTTACCAAGACAGTCTATTCAGCCTTCAGCTGTCTGGGTATAAAATACCTGCTGGACCTTCTCCAGTTGCTTTCTGACATACTAATCTGTAAGTGAGATATTTGAGTCAAATTTATTTGGTAATTTCTACACTTAACTTTTATTTGACTTTTTCCTTTTATCGTTTATGGACTTTCTGTTGCAATTTTAAAAGTAACATTTTAGAGACGGAGCATTTTCTTCTGTGTATAAGATTAAACTAAACTATTATTTGGAAAGTTGAGTTTTTTTAAAATTAAAAAACCCCCAAACTTCATAACGTGGACAGTTATGACTATGATCTGCTTCATTCTAAAGAAATTGGAAACATACAGTCAGCATAAAGGTTGTTTTGCACTTATTAGTCATTGCAGTTTTACTGAAGTTCTTGTCCTTAAATAGTCTCAAAAAACATGTAAAGTTGTTTTTTAAGAGTTACATAGTAGGATAATGTATCATCATTTGAAATTCGCAAGGTAGCTACATAGAATAGTCTCATTTTTTAACCAGTGATGCATCCTTGATGTCCTGAATCCCTGATGTGCAGCTGTCATAGCTGAAGTGCCAGACCCTTCCACCCTCCAGGGTGAAAGTAGGAATGTGCAGACCTCAGTGTCTCAAAAGGGCCATTGATCTCACTGCAATGTAGACATGTTTGAAATCGGAAGAATGGTAATTATGGGTCTCATTGATATTCCTGTCAATAAGTAGTGCAGCTTTTTCCATCCTCATTTAGAATTGCAAACAAGGAAGTGAGCAGCAGAGGTCAGAGTCCTGCCAGGGCTGGGCTTGTTGGGCATAAGGACAAGTGTTTAGTGAACGCTTGTATTCAGCAGAGTGAGTCTTCCTCCTGAACAAGGTATCCACAGGGCTGATGGCACCTATGGTAGCACTTGCACACTTCAAAACATTGGAGCAGTCCCCTGGTGTTACAGCAGTTGCATGTGTGGTGTACTCTGAACATGGAACTGGTGGAAGAGGTGCATGCACCTTTCACATTAAATGAGTTTGGAAGGATCTTAGGAACTTACTTCCTTTTAAGTTTTTGTTAATTAGCAACCATAACACTTCATAAAGAGACGTGCAATCCTATGATCTTTTTAAATCTACGCTTGTTTTCATTAGTAAGTGATGTGTACCAGTATCAGAGGTTTAAACTTAAATCTGTATGATAGCAGGCTCTTTAGGCTTTCTGATCCCCTCCCACCATATATTTTTCCTTTCTCCGTAGTAGGAGAAATTCCTCTCAGGATGACACCTTGTGCTTTTGTACAGTAATGTCAGCAGCAGAATGAAAGAGAAGACCAGAATTATCTAATCTTAATCAGTTTCAGTCTCCCGTTGCTGTGCTACCACAAAAAACGTTAGTGTGTAGGATCATAGAGGTGTTTGTCCTGAGCAATGCCTTTGTGGCTTTCCTGAAAGGAGCAGAGATGAAAAAATTGCATTACCAAGAGAAGCTGAGACAAATAATGATGCCACTGTTGCCTGATCACATTTATTGTCTTTGCTGAGTGCTGAAAAGAAGGTGAAATCTTCAGGGTATTTTGTTTAACTGGAAAGGGAAAGACTTATCCAGATACGTTTTATAGTAAGTTACCTATCGAGTATTATTTACAGATATCTTCTAATTGAGACAAAAAAAAAATTACTTACAAAATAATTAATCACATACTTACCTTCAATATCATTAAGTATGATTTTGGACTGTGGCCAAAATAGATCTCTCAAATCAGTTTACAGTCTGCTTGAATGGAGAACAGCCTACAAAGATATATTAAAAAAATATAAAAATCTGGTAATTGTTTGCAGGATATATTAGACTTACTTTCTACTGAGGTTCATTATTTCCCTTTTTGAGAAGTCTTTATTTTTTCAGTTAGAGTTTTGCATATACATAGTATGTTACCAAGACAATGAGATGTGGGAAATTGACTGAAATTTTAAGAATTCTTAATATTCTAAGTATGGTTAAAAAAAAATAAATTGAAGCTTTGACATGATATCTCTCTCCTTCAGATGTCATTGTAGGACTGCTGCACATAGTTGTCCTGGTTTTTAGCTGGGACAGAGCTAGACTTCTTTTTAGTAGCTAGAATAGCGCTGTGTTTTGGTTTCAGCATGGGATTTGTTATGAGAGAAACGCTGATAACGTACCAACATTTTCTGTTGCTGCTGGAAATCAAAGGACTTCACGTTTTGCTGGTCTACAGATGCAAGGTCTAGGAGGGGTGAGAAATATTAAAATTAGTAAGTTAGATTGACATTTGGATAGCCTAATGTGATATTCCATATCATATAACATCATGTTCAGTATATAAATGAATCTCTCTTGTGGGAGGTTCTCGCTCGGGCTCTAATTCTTCTGGGATTGCTGTTTGGGTTTCAGGGTTGTCAGTCCTCTGGGAGTGTTCTGACAGATTTGATTGTTGGGTGGTAAGCAATTGCACTGTGTATCACT